ATGTATGTAGGGAGTAAGGGTCACATGAAATGTATCTAGGGCCATTAGCATGACTTAAACTATTGGTAATGATTCCATTTCGTTGCCGAGTATGAAAAAATGTGGACGATTTATATTTGTTACATGAAGTAGTAGAACAGAGCTTACCTATTTTTTTAAAACATGACTTTTCCTTATCTTTGAGTAATTTGAGGGAAAATTTAAACTCTATATTCAGTCAGAACTCTATGTTCAATAAGAATATCTGTACTATAACAGGCTGGTTTCTACTAGGATCTTTTATTGTGCTTTTAAGATACCACTGACATGGGCTGCAAAACTTTTAAAAAAAGGAAAGGTTAGAGACAGAAATATTACTAAATGTGAGTTTCCAGATGGATAATGAGGAAATCTTGACTTTTTATTTAATGTCAGAAATTTTATCAGTTCCATAAATAAACTTGCTGATGGCACCCGCATCCTGCCCAGCACTGAGTGAGCTTTCGGTTTTCTAGAACCAAAATGGGTGCATGTTTTACCCTAGGTCAGTAGACATGCAACATAAACATCCACCCCAAAATTGTGATACTGGCAAAGTATTAAAACGGACAAAACAAAAATTTGGATTTTTCCTCAATAACTAATAGAAGTTTATTAATAAGGATATTTCTAGAGTTTATTTAGTAGGTATACCAAAGAATATTTTAAAAACTAAGAATAATTAAAGAGTACTAGCTCTGCTACAGATCAAAAAATACTACAATGTATGTGGTACTAAAATATTGACTCCTAGCCCCAGAGAGACAAATAGTCAAAAGCATAGAACTGAAGTTCAAAAAACACAATTACATGACTATAGTGCTGCCTCAGCTCATAAATTTAATTCTTTCCATGGTTCTGGTCGCGAACCAAACTGGATGAGAACAAATCAAATTTCTTATAAGGTCAACGCTGAACGTAGCATGAATTGACTCAGTTATCGTCCCACTTGGTTTGTGCCAAGAGTGGTGGAAGGCATCAAGTCTGTGACCCGAGCAAGGTGCCGCCATGCTGTGTGTAAGTGTAAGGGTGCTGCAGGGGTGAGGTGTGTGCAAGTATGGAAACACACACCCAAGTGTGACGGGCGCTTAGAAAAAAAAGTTAGATTCTTGCTTGTCATCTTTTACCAAAATAAATTAGAAAATGCAGGGGAAAATTTAAAATTTATAGAAGGTCTTTTGAGGAATGCTTTTCTCCTAAAGCACGGAGAAAAGTAAGTTTTATTACATGGCAGTTTGAAAACTTCAGCACTAACATGGACACTTCAGATCTAGTTAGGAGGAAATGATAACATTTACAGGAAGGGTATACTTGCACCATGTGTATTACAGGGAAGAGTTAACATTCCACAGTGCTCTCATCTAGTCCTAAGGCTTTAAATATCACCTAAATGTTACCATCCCTCAAGTCCTGAGTTTCACTTAGACTTCTCTCCTGAATGGCAGATTCTTAGCTGCCTACATGAGGTCTCCACTTGGATGTATCTCAGACAGCTGTAACATGCCGAAACTGAACTCCTCGTTTTCCTGCCCTCTCCATTCTGCAAACCATCTCACCTGGTGTTCCCCATCTTGTTTACGGCCAGTCCTTTCTTTTAGATGTCCATCTCAAAAATCTTAGCAGTCTCAAAACTCTCTTCTACTCTAAAGCCAATGTCAGCAAATCCTGCTGGTTCTACTTCCAAAATACATTGGAGCTGTGTGTGGTGATGGAGGCCTGTGATCCCCACACTCAGGAGGCTGAGGCAGGAGGCTCACCATGAGTCTAAGCCAAGCCTGGGCTACATAATGACTTCAAGACCAGCCTGCACTACATAGCGAGACCTTGCCTCAAAAAAACAACTAAATCCAACCCAATCCAACCAGTAAAAAAACCCTGGACTCTGCCCTCTCACTGACTTCACTGCACATACCTGGAAGGCTGTCCCTGACCTGCCTTCCCCCTCTATTTCCATAGTCCCCACCTTTCCTACTGTCTTTTTGAACAGCCACATGCCTTCTTAGCAACCCTTTGAATATGCCAGGCAAATCCCTGTGGTAGAGATTTTGAACACTGCTTATTTCCCCTCCTGGAAAGATTCTCCCCCTGATATCCACAGGGCTGACTACATGCGCTCCTCCACGCTTTACTAGGGAGATGGATGCTACTCACCACCCTGTGAGAAGCAGTGAATTCCCCTCCTTGCTCCCCTCTCAGCTTCCTTTACTTCTTTCACACAGCATATACCACATTCTAAGACTGTTTCATTTATTATACTTACTTTTTCCTCCACTAGAACGTAAGTTGAATGGAGGTCGGGAGAGTCTGCATTGTACTGTGGCATAATCCTCCGCATCGTGTCCAGCACACAGGAGAAACTCGATATTGATGAGGAAATAAATAGATATCCTCATACTTAAGCCACAGTATGTAAGCCATAATTTTTTCAGAAGACAATTATACCAGAGGATGTTCAAATGAAGGGTGGGCAACAGGAAAAAACACAGACCCTCAAACAAGTAAAACATTCCTATATCCTAGTAAATAAAAATTTTAGCAACACTACTATCTGGCTATTGCTTCACATCTTTAGAAATGCAAACATGAACTGTGCTGTGTACGCTTTTTTCTATTACTACTTTAATTCTAAGACTAGAAACAGTGTTTACAGGCTCACTCATGTGAATCTTTCTTGTTATTCTTCTTTGAGTCTATTCATAATACACACAGCATATGTACTTCATGGAATGGACAAGACATACAAGCAAATAAGCTATGATATCATTTTAACAAAACTGTAAAATAACCAGCCAAAAATTCAACATAATAAAGCCAAAAGTCACCCTCTAAATGTTCCCAAAAGAAAGTACTTATTTATAAAATGCAACATGTCTTTCCTTTTAGAGGTAAATAAAGGTTTTATTGCTGACAAGTATAGTCTATATAATGACAATGTACATGAGATATGGATTTTTAAATAAGGAATAATGACCATCAAATAGCAGGTGGCCAGTATTTCTCAGTGTTGGTGCTAAAACCCTATTTCCTTTCCAACATCTTGAACGCATTATAAAGAAAGAATTAGGCCCCAAAGGTAGAGGAGAATCTGAAAAAAAAAAATTCACTTTCTAAATGTCTCAACTAGATCAAGTCAAATGACAATGTTTTATTAAAGAGAAAATATTATATTAATGGAATGTATCCAACCTCCCTATCACCTTAATATATAATATAGAGCTTTCTGCTATTAATAAAGATGTAGTTAACGCTGACCAACATCTCCTGCGAAGGCAACTAGAGTGTACACAACACACAAAGCACCCGTTGGAGGCCCTGTCTTGCTAACAAGCCTGCGGAGAGCGGAAGTGTCAGGAGGGAGGTGGAGGCTCAGGGCAGTCGTTGCTGCAACCACAGCTGTGGCTCCTGAGTGCTTGTGGATGCCAGAGGGTGGGAGGAAGGGTCAGCCACACTCGAGGCAGAGGGGACAAGCGGCTGTGGGAGGCCACACCCTAGGACACTTCACAGTGGGATACAGAGACAAATTTGAGATTATAAAAGTTTAAAATGTAATACAGTTAAAGTACTGACACACCAGAACAAATACAGGTAAAGCATTATCAAATCAACCAACTTATGGTATCTAGCCAGAATTGAGTATCCAGCCAAAACCACACAAACACAAAAATCCAAAACAAGCAAGACAATCTCACCAACTTAAGATAACAAAAGATGTGTAGCAGAAGATGAAATAATACTGCCAGTAATCTAAGAGCTATCAATTTTGAGATTATATGTTACCATTAGTGCTATCATTATCAGAGTCTAGATAAAGATGAACAGGTATTCTCACGCACTCTAGTATATGTGGGACTAGCGTTATTTCAGATTTTTAATTTTTCTTTAAACTGTGGAATATTTGCATAGACTTTACTGGTTGAGCCTCCTTAATCCAAAGATATTAGATGCTCAAAAAATCCAAAATAGTCTTGTCTTATATCAGTGCTCAGTTTCAAGTTTTAGAGCATTTCAGATTTCTGATATTTGGAGTAGGTATTCTGAACCTATAGCATCCTTGTTCTTAGAGACGAGTTTGATAGAAGATGAATTAAAAAAAATCTCCTCCAACCCGGTAAATTAGTTTCTAGGAATCTGCTACACACGTACAAATATGAACACACAGGTATATTCTTTGCTGCACTGTTTACTAATAGAACATAGGTTACGTAAAGTATGGTTCATCCATTTCTTGGATTCTTAAAACTTAAAAAAAGAGAGGCTAAGTACATCAGATAAGTAGGCTAAACATGTTCATAATGAACTAAATAAATGAAAAGTTACAGACCAGAGTATAACATGTTAATGTTTATGTGAAAACCAGCCAAAAAACTGAAAGATACTTCTCTCTCCTTGTGTCTCTCATTCACACACCTACACCACAAGTCAGAGATTGATAAACTTAACATTAGTTATCTCAAAGACAGCATATAAGATTAGGGCTCTGAGGAGAGCCAAATAGTGCACTTTACTTCTTATTTTCTACACCATTTGAATTACTTTTAACCATGATTATAGATGTTAGCTTTGCAATTAACATACTCCACATATACTTCTTAAAGAGCTAGAAAATGACGTGCCAAAAGAAAAAAAGAAAATCTAAATCGTTAGTCATCTCAAGAACACAGTATGTATTATAAAATACACCATTATATGATTTAATCTTCGACAGAGGATAAATCTTAAAGAGAGATGGGAAGAAAAGCTGTTTCATCAAAAACGGGTACAAGGGCTTTCCTGCCAGAGCTGTTTTGAAGATGACTGTATCCCTGATCTTAGATCCTGCAAAGACACGTGTCAACTGAAATGACTCTGAAGCTACTTTCCATATTAATTCTCGGAAAATAGCCGAGTATATTGCGAATTACCTGTTCTGCAGACTGACATATAAAAGAATTTCTTCAGACATAATGCTACTGTTTAGTTAATAAAATGCAAGCCATACTTACAAGGAATAGACTGAACAGGCACAAGCTGTGGAAAGGTCATCAGAACAGAAATCCCTGGCAGATCCTTTTGGTTGGGAGGTTCAGTAGTCTGATCTGCCCAAACCACCACTTTTTTCCTTTCTACCAAATGTTCAATTTCTTTGAAGTCAGATTCAAAAGCAGCATTTGACAAGCCAGCCTCTTTCAGTGTGCAATACTGTCTCCTTAGGCTTGGAAGTAAAGCATTCAGTACTCTGTTATACAGAAGATAAGAAATGAGAGACAAACACTGATTTTTAAATATATTATTTACAGTTCTTTTATGTTACACCCATAACATTAGCATATCATTGAAATGATTTCCTGTATGTTTTATTTTAGAAAATGTTATTTCAGTGAGACACCTCTACAAGCTTAACACGTTAAGTACACACTAGAAACACTCTCAACAGGGATTGCAAGAACCAGCCCTATTCTGGAGTAGTCTTCATATTCTGTTGTTCTCGCCACTTTCTGGAGCAGCTCTGGAGCCCTCTTTCCTGAGTGTCTTTCGTTGTGCCGTCCCGGCTGCCTCCATATCTGGAGTCAATTCAAAACGCTTGTTTTGCATAGGCATTTTCAGTTTGGCGCAGAGCCAGAAACTGTCTGGTACTCGATCTGGTGAATGAGGTGGATGAGTATATACAGTGATGTTTTTATGAGCCTGCCTTCCTGGTGGACGACACTCAGCAGAAACATTCGCTGTATTTTTGAATACACCTTGTAAAGGCACCCATGAAAGGGGGCTTCAAGAACTGCTTTAGAAAGTGGCAAGAACTACAGAATAAGTGTTCAAAGTAAGGGGTAGTATTCCGAGGGAGATTCATGGCACTGTCTTTTACTGGAATAAGTTTAGAAAGTGTAGACATTCACTGTACATTTCATTCACCCTTTATACACTACTTTCAAGTGAAAAGTCTTGCATTTTAAGTATAAAACTTTAAAACACACACAACAACAAAACCCAATGCTCCTTACGTGACCTAAAAGGAGTGGTTTTCAGAGTGGGCATCAAAGAGGAAAGATCTGGACAAGAATATTGTGTATAAGGAGTATTTCAGGCTTCAAATTCTTGGTTCTGCCTCAAAATCTTTCACATGCCCGACAGTCAATAGCAATGACGGTATCTGTCCATGTATTAGGTCGCTGTACAGTATACACCTGACAAAATGTTTGCGCCAGACAGCTGGAACTCCACTGAAAGTCCTAACTTCTACAAAGGCAGATGCAAAGAACTCGAGGATCTTCAAAGGGCTCAGCTCGGGTTCACTGAGACAGAGGCTAACAGACGAAGGACCGATTTAGTAATCACACACCCTCCATCCTAGCATCACACACTCTAGATTCAGCCACTTCTGAAAAAGTCCTATTACTGCATGAGGCTTTGGGGGAACATCTAGACACAAACCACAACAGGCTCTGTGCCATTTCCTTCAGAAAAGTTTAGGATTTGGTAATGCCAGGCAGAGGGTGCTTATTCAAAAACTCACAGCACTAAGTCCTGAAAGATCTCCCAAGGTAAACAGCATTTCCCATGTGTTGCTGTAACTTCTGAAGGCTCAATTAAGACAAGCTTTGACTCTGCTGAAGCAAGATTCTCAAAATGTTGAGCCCAGCCTGTCTCTTTTTCCCTGTGCTGAGTTGACTTTGTGTCCTCCTGCTGTAATAGCTCATAGCTTTAAGTACAATCACATGAGGAATCTTGAGGCCAGTAACTCACAGACCCATTAGGAGCCCGTGGCACAGGCACTGTACGTTTGTATTACTATCTATTTATATACAAGGAAAGAAGGCTTGGCCAGCTTATACGATCTCTGCACTGCTCACAGAAGCGAGAGTTCAGACTGATACCAAACTCATGGTCTTCCCATTATGCCACGCTGTCTCTGTGATGCCCTGGTCACCAATTTTCTACATTAGTGAGTGCATGGGCCCCTTTTGTTCCCATTTTAAAGTAGAAAGTTATCCTAAATACCTTAATCTATGTGTCTGATATAGTAAATACAGGGTGGTTAAAGTAAGTTATGTTTGCTGTGTGTCTGGAACTCCTGCAGGTAGTCTGGGTGCTAGTGGATGAATGTTTAATGTCTGCTCCAGGAGGTACAGATAGCATATGGGCAGCAGAGTGGTGTGAGCTTCCACCCACAGAAACTCTTGTCTTCTTTTTTAAAAACTGCTATACTTATAAGTCAAAAGTACAGAAAATTAATCAGCAGTTATTTGAGAATGCCAGTAGAACAGAGTAAACTTAAGGCGTGGAAAGAAGTCTGTAGAGAAACAAATTTCTCACTTTCATTGAGCATCAAAGTGATGCCTAAGAAGTTGACTGATTTATCTGAGTGATGAAAAACTGTTAAGCCACACTTTAAAAAAAATTTTGTTTTTTGAAATTACATGATAGAGATGTTACTACTGAGCTATTAGAAAGAGTAGGAAAGAGCATCACATAAAAATCGGGACCCTGGATATTTAGCAACTTTATTTTAATAATAACAAAATCATTCTAGAATTATGAATAATTAATAATTATCTACATAAAAATTAAATTAATGTTAATCAGAACTGCTTCACTGGATAAGAATTCTTAGAAATTTTATTATGCTGCATGCATTAAGTAAAAATAACAAAATTTTAAAGAAAAATGCTTTAAAAAATTAGTCACTGTGGAAGAACCACATCTTGTATATTCTCAGAGTTTTCCTACTGTGGATTTTCTGTTACTGGCAGACACTGGGAAATAATGCATCCCATATACATAAAACTCAAATTTTCTGGCAATGGAAAAGTAAACTTCCATGTTTTGGGTACTTTGGTCTAGCCTTAAACTCTGTAGGACAGGTAAATCCATGTACTTACGCCTCAGTCTGCCTGTGCTGCTGCTCTTGCAGGCAAGCGAGGTCGATCATATGTCTAATTTGTGCTTTCAAATCTTTATTCTGGAGGTGTAAGTGGTGAACGTGAAGCTCTTTACTGAGTTCCTAGGGAAAACAATACAAAATATATTTTAGATTCTTTTAAGCATATTAAAATCCTATTTGTTTAATAAAAGTTATTCCATATTGGTGCAGGTAGTTTTATTTTTTTATATAGATAAAACACGTTTGCAAACAATTTTGAAAGTAAGAGTTCTAGTATAGGTAATCTATAACTTAGCAGCAAGATAAGGTTTGAAGTTTCTTTAGAAACTGAATATTAGGAACTCAGAAGAAATGTTACTTTTTTTTTTTTTTTCCGGTACCGGGAATCGAACTCACGACCTTATGCTTGCCATGCAGGCGCTGCGCCAAGAAATGTTACTTCTTAGTGCATTCATCTTGTTCACAATGTTGTGAAAATACATTCTTAGGGTCTGCGTTTACTGATATGGCACTTGCACCATTTAAGCCCACAGTTATGGGGGGGCATTATTTCCCAGTGCACACTCTCTGCCCTGAAATACCATCATAGCATTGGTCAGGAACAATTTCATTCATTTACTTTATCAATAGCGTCTCTCTACACTAGAATGTTAAGGTTCACCCCCAGGACACGGACCATGTCAGATCAGTTTAGCATCTGGAGTTACTTGCCCACGCCCACTCTTATTATTAGCATCACCCTAGGCAAAAGCAAATTGTTAAATATTGCCAAAAAAGTCTCGCATGCTGCTATTTTCTTAAACCTCATCTTTATAGCATCACCTGTCCTTAAAGTTACAACCTAAAATTACATTTCTTTCCTCAAACCTAGTAGGCCTTAAGTACAGAAAATACTGGCTAAGTGACCACACTGAAGTAGGAATGATAATTTAGTAACATTTTCTGCCATCTTTACGTGGGAAATTTTACTTTGTATAATGAAAAAGAATGATTTTAGGGGGATATTTTGAGTAACTGAGCCAGCATTGAGAGCTATGTCTGGAAACTTCCTCTCAGAAAAATTCCTATAATCCATTTTAGCTTTTCAGTCTAAGTCTCTCTTCCAATTCAGTTGAGCAAATTCTCTAAAAGCTTAGTTGTTTCCTTTTCTCTTCAAAATACTTTATCAGTAACAGGATGATGACTGAAAACGATGCTAACCAATTGTCTTGAGATACACTAATGAAAGGATTTATCTACATAATTCATTTTAACACTTTAAGGAATACAGTATGTATTTTAGAAAAATTCTTTCTATGAAAGCAGAATGACAAGTTCAGAGCACTGGTCCGAGTTATGTGATTTTTAGGGGTAGACTTGGCATTAAAAGAAATGCTGGCGTAAGTAAAATATATGGCCTTTATGAAGATCAGCTCACTTCACTAAAATTTAGGAGCTGGGTGAGATGATCCTTTCTTTCCAGTTGGAAAAGTCAAACAATTATAAAGTGGTACCTCAGTTAATGAATTTAATTCTTTCTATGGCTCTGGTTACAAAACTAGTTCCAAGATTCTAGATCAAAAATTCAGTTTTACCCAGAATGAAAGGAATGAATCCTGAGATTAGAATCTTGGAAAGAATTAAGTTCATGACAAGGTATCATGTAATCGTGTAAATACGTTTGTCAAATATTCCTCTCCTCTATTCCCCTAAAATCTTCCTTTTTATAAATATTGTTGGGTAATTTTCCTTTATTTTCTTGAATTATTCTCAGGCCTTGGCTACTTGGCCATCTTCGGAAACCAAGCTTATAATTGAGTCTGACTTACTCGGATGACAGAGCAGAATCTGTTCGAAAGACTCCAGGCGGGCTAGTAATGGCTGAAGCACAGCACACTGAGTGGAGGCCCACCCTTGGGAAGCGCCAAGTGCCAGCCGCGCCCAGCCTGGTGAAGCCCAACGCAGCCTTCATGAGGCGAGAAGGCACTGCACACTGGTGCTCCATGACCAGGGTTACCAGGAGAGAGTGCATTACGACGGGATAGTATCAGACGCACACAGACCAAATGCAGCAGCCTGACACGGGGGAGTCAGTCACAGTTAGGAAGAGGCAACAAATGACAGAAGTTGCTAAAAAGCAGACATGTGACAGGGTACAGAGAAATCAGCACGAGTGTGGAAGTCAGAAGAGCTGAGTCTTTGTCAGTCTTTGCCAGCATCCTATGACCTTAAAAATGCCTTTACCAAGTTATACTTCAGTTCGCTTACACACGAAATAATGGCTTATGACTAGATTATTATTTCAGCTGTGAAAAGCCCTACAGAACAAAAGAATGGAGGGTAGGATTTGGGTGTTGGGAATGGAAACAGTTTTCTTTTCAATTTATTTGTAATAAAATGCATGAAAGCCAAAAACCTAAATTAGGTTCACATTCAGGTATACAAAAGTTCTACCTAAGAGTTATAGATGACAGACTGCTAGAAAAATTAGATTGCATTGAAAAATTAAAGTTGACTGAAAATAAACAATATTAGGTTCTTAATCGCTAGTAAGAAAAAAAATTAACAATAATGCAAAAAACTTTTTAAAATTGGGAGCTTAGCATGCATATAGACAGCAAAGGCAAACTAGTAAGTTTTACAGTCAACCTTTCTATGTCTTTAACAGCAGGCATGTTCTCAAGTACTTCCCCCGCTGGAGGCGGGCATAATTTAGAATGTTCATTTCATGCACCAACATACTAGATTATATAAGCACCATGCAAATTAGGTTGTGCTGCTCAGAAGTACAAATAGTCCTAAAAGGGCTGATCTAATATATTCTAATCTGTCAGATTACAGCCACAAACAGTGGTAATGAATTTAGAAAACTATAAAGCACCTTCAGTAGTTACTTTTAAATAAGGTAAAAATGTAACCACAATCCTTGATCATTAAGTAATCACATAATAAAGGGGATGAACTAAAATGTAGTATCAATACTGAATATCTATTACCAATCTATGAGAATCAGCTCCTGAGGACTGACTGATAACCACTCACAGGGCCAGGGTTACAAGCTACTGTCTTAGAAAACTTTCCATCCAGGACACGGTTTTGGTACTCGTAGCTGTGGTATGACAGAGGCTCTTTTATCCTCAGATGAATCTCAACAGTTGTGGAAGACTTATATCTTGCATAGAATTTCAGAAGTCAGATTTCCTAAGCCGAGGCAATCTCTGCTAGAGTGATTGGAGTGTTTGGTAATTCTGGTATTTGATAGTCAGTTTGAATACTGGCTCACACAGTGATTTTGGACAAATGACTAAATGTTGATGTTTTAATTTCTCATCTATAAATGATGGGTCATGGTCATTTTTACTTGGTACTGAAGTATGATATTATCTTAAGATAGATATGGCCTTTTAAAAAATGTGGTTTATTTTCTTTCTGTGATAGAGAACACTGTTTAGCAGAAGAGCTTCAGGAAACTTCAGTGACTGAAAACATATGCAAAGCTGTATGAATGTGACCTTCCAATCTCCCATGCAGGAGAAGATCTGTGTATCTTCGATTAGACTCTCAAATCTCAGCCACATTTATGACTCCTGAAAAGGTCAGAGTCACTGTTCCGGAGGAGACACTGAAGATGTACCATATGATGCCACTAACTGTTCTGTGTGTTCCACACTTTCGTTACTGACATTTGTATTACTGTTGTTTACGATTATTTATGGACTACTATTATTTATTGCTGTTAATTCTCTAATACAAACTTTCATTTAAGCTCATAATTTCTTAAATATATTTATAGATGAGAAATTAAAACATCAACATTTAGTCATTTGTCCAAAATCACTGTGTGAGCCAGTATTCAAACTGACTATCAAATACCAGAATTACCAAACACTCCAACTATAAGTGGATATTCTCTTTCTATTAGTTGCATTTTCTTTGTGGGGAGTATTTTAAAGTATTATATAAGGCGGTATGTTACTTTAAAATAATACTATGGTATGCTTTATATGTCCTAATCTACCTTTAAATATTAAAGATCCCTAGCATTTACTACTAGGTATTTTAGTTCCTCTCTATTTTTAGTCTGGTGTTCTAGAAATTAGAAGATTTTAGAATACATGTCAATTAGCTGGGACAGAGTAAAGAGTTTTAGAAGTCAAGGCTTTAAGGTACTTTTCCTTTTAGGAAAAACGAAACTGAAATACTCTTTTAAAGTATTAAGTATTTGGCTCAAAGTTAGCAGTGCTGTAAAAGCTGCTGCTGGATGCTTATCTCTTGTTTGTTTTCTTCTTTCTTATCAAGAGAACTCCAGTTTTGCCCAGGCATCTTCTATCCAGGGACAGTCACACAGCCGGAGTCGTGGGCCATGGTCTCAGCCTCAGAGCCTGGGCATGTGCTGGGAGACTCTGCTCTCCTGGGGAAGGTGTCCTTGTCCCTTGTTTCCCTTTCTCTGGTCTAGGTGTCAGCTCAGTGCTGGACATGAAAAGTCACATACTCATAAAATGACAAGGATAATAATGGCATAGCTAACATATTGGAACTGCGTATTTCAAGACTTATCTTAAGGTGAGCAAAACACAGTCCAAGCTGGGTAAGGTGGCCCATGCCTATAGTCAAGCGCTCTGGGAGGCTGAGGTAGGAGGATCACAAGTTTGAGCTACGTCTGGGCATGTTGGCACCTTACAACACCATCTTATGGTGTCTGAAAAAAAAAAAGGGTGGGGATGTAGCTTAGTGCAAAGGTCTTAGGGTCAGTCTCAGGGCTGGCAGATCAAACTGATCATAGAAGAAAAACCATTAGCCATCACTCCCAACATGAATAAACATAACCTTTCCATATTCTAATTGGAATATCTTTAGCCACGCACATGCACATAACCTTTCAAATCACTTTCGTTAGCCATGATAAAATTAGTCCTGCCCACATTTAAAACTATATTTGCACGAAATATCAATATTAGCACAAATTATCTACATGATGAATCCTTATGGAGTCCGAAGTAGATTACTCAGCTGAAGAGCTACCTCATAAAAGGCACTCCTTAAGAAGAACATTTAAAAGTAACTTTACTCTTCTGAAAGTAGAGGGAAGGCAAATATACCAGGAAATTATCAAGCAGAAGCGATGTTTGGTTAAAAACAGTAAAATACGTCAGTTAAATCTCAGAGAAATGGGGTGACAGGTGAGGTGCCTTATGAAAGATACTTACTCAATAAGGAAGATAAGAATTTCAAAAAGTTCAGTTTTTCCAAACCAACTGAACAGACAAATACATCTGTACCTTTGGGATGCGACCATTTTGGCCCAAGAGTCCCATTTCGCTCTCCACTCGATGAAGCCAACTGGTATTCTCATCAAACTGCTTCAGCTCCTCCTCTCTCTTCTTCTCCAGGTAGCAGCGACGCGTTTTCAGCATTGCAAGTCTATGATCTCGTTTGCAGGTGGCCTGAAACACAAGGCAGTGGTAAGTGTGGCTCTACCTCATGGATTTATTATAAACACCAAATGAATTAATCCACGCTAAGCACTTTTGAAACCTGTCTGGCACACAGTTAATACAGAGTGCTAATAAGAGCCGTTGTTAAAAAGTATTTAGTAGATATCTCTACAAAATTTAAAACAATTATCCAACTAAAAATTACTTTATGCTGGGTGTGGTGGTGCACCCCTATAATCCCAGCACTTGGGAGGCTGAGGCAGGAGGATCAGTGGGAGTTCGAGACCAGCCTGGGCTACAAAGTGAGCTCAAGGTCAGCCTGAACTGCACATCGAGACCCTGTCTCAAAAAGACAAAAAAAAAAAATTAGAAGGAGTGCTAAAAATTGAAATAAAATAATATAAATCCTAAACTGTATAAGGTTAGATTTCAGAATTCCACTTAGCAACCATGTGAAAGGGTTCACAACAATGATACATTAGTCATGTAATATATTCTGCTATTTAGAAACCATTATATTTGTCAAAAAATATTGGGAACCACTATGCAGTGCAAGAAGGTCAACGTGGGACACAGCAACAGGTCTCAGAGACACAGCCAGGGACTACGAAGTAGTTCAGCGGCAGAGTGCCTGCACAGCCTGTGTAATTACATGCACACCCCCAGAAGATACAAATTTACTTTTTCTTCTGTTTTAAAAAGTAATTTTCAGTAAGATCAAGCATGTACACTGCACTTAATAATTTATTCTGATAATGACTTAAAGGTTTGATAGTGGTTTTGATAATGGTTTAATATTTGACAACTATTTTGATAATGGATTACTGATAAAATGCTATCAATGATAGGTTAAGGGAAGCTTTATGATTAACTTTTAGTTTATCACTTCTTTCCTATTTTCTAGGGTAAGAAAAGATATCCCAGTTTTTAAAAGCAGCCATGGGCCGCTGCCCCTCTGTGAACGAGCCGCTTGCACTCCCCCGCGGGGGCGGGAGACTTTCCTTTACCATGTGAGCTCCCTTCTCCTTCACGAAGTGAACTCCCCGCTAGGACTGCCAGAAATGCTCAGAAAACAGTTGCAAACAAAGACTGCGCTTCGTTGGTTTCCTTTTTCTGAAACCCAGGAATTTAAAATTTCTTTCTTGTTTACTTGAGGCATTTAAAATAATGTCTGCTATATTTCCTCGAGCCGTTCCATGCACTTGTAGAGAATGAGTAATTAAGTAACCTTGGCTATCAAGGTTTTAGAATTAAAGTTTGCATGTTATATTGCTAAATACCTTTTCTACTTTGTCTTCAGAACACATCATTTCTATTTGCTTATGGCATTGTTGTTGATAGAATGACTTAAGTTCATTTTCTTTAAGTAACATTTCCAACTTCAGATATTCTTGCCTAATTTCTTCTCGATTCTGGAACAAGCAGTTAAGAATTTCTTGAAATCTACCAAAAATAAAATGCATTACAGAAACTCATCAATTTTATGGTCAATGAAACAAAATTTAACTTAAAGAAATGAATAAATAAGGCTGGGAATGGTGGTGCATGCCTGTAGTTAGTTATTTGGGAGGCTGAGGCAGGAGAATCTCAAATTCAAGACTAGATGAGGCAACTGAACAATATTTCAAAAAACAAAAAGGTTAGGGTGGTCAGCGGTACAGTAGATACCTAGCTTGCACAAGGCCTTGGTTTCAATCCGCAATACCATAAGAAAAGGAAAATAAAACAAACAAGCAAACAAACACATATACCCACTTACAGAATATACTCCATGACCAAGAGCAAGTCAGTTAGAATAACTCCTTCCTATTACAAAAATACTTAAAGAGTATTCGGTTTATTTCTACTAAGTTAGTTGTCATGTCTCTCTTCCAAAGAAAATCATGTTATAGGAAATATAGGTATCACCAGTCCTCTGAAATTAATATTATATTTTGTCTGTGTGTCTATATGCCTACGATTCAACTGTTCAGGAGAAATAAGCCGTTTCATGTCTGTAGGCAAAGGATGATGACCTGAGTGAGCGCTCTGTCGTTCCCAGGCCATGAGCAGCCACCCTGGCGTTGGTTCACTGAAGACACAACACTGGGAGAAAGCCAGGGAGCCCGCTGTAGCCTCCAAAGGAGATACAGTAAAACACACCATACGGTTCAGTCCTCCCTACAGCCTGGCACTGAGCCCACTGACGTCGCCAGGACCCGAGGCCTCCACGCTCACGAAGCGGTGAATGGAGGACAGGTGTCTCCCAAAGGGCAACAGCATCTAGAGAATCCAAGCTGAGGAGTCTGAGCCAGACCCCAAATGCCCAGAGTAGTACCTCACTGGCTGGAAGGAAAAGCCTTCAATCACCCTGCAGTCCCGTGCCTGCAGGGTCAGCAGAACACTGCTCACCGTGATATTTCAGAGTTATAAAAAATCTACCTGTGCTGTCAGGCCACAGATCAGCTCTGAGACACAGAGGCAGCATGACCAGTCATACACAGGCACACATCTCAAAGAACAAGTAACTGTGAAGCCTTTAAAATAAAATCAAGTATGGACATTTAAAAATAAATGTTCTCTGGCCAGAATTTCAGATATATTTGTAAGGACCTGTGGTACAAATAGTGCCAATTTACGTCAGTAGTTCTTAATGAAACTCTGCTGGGAATAACTATAAGCCACAGTACATTGACTTTACTGCAGTTTTGTCAAACTGATAAAAATTTCATAAGAAATATGTACAGACACTATGATTTCACTGTATCATATTACACCAAGGCTAATGCCAGTAAATGAATTGGTAAGTTTTCTTTAGGTTATACCCAAAGATAAATTCTCGGTTTTTCTATAACTTTTTACTCAAGGGCAATGTTAAGTATTTGTTAATTTTGTGGTCTAGACGTTTTACTTGGTGGTATTTACTAATTATGATGGAAGGATGGGATTTAGTATCGAAGGTTTCTAGAGAGCTCCTTTAAAAAAAAATCATTAAAACACAAAGTGCCCTAAGGGACTGACTAAAAACTATTTAAATGTGAAAAATTCCCAAATAAATGCTTATTTCATAGTTTAGGCCATCTTCTCTCTGAATAATCTGTCTTATCACGTTCTCACTGGCTGGAACTACCACTAGCTCATGATTGAACCACCACTGGTTCGTGCACGGCTGTCCCACCGGGCAGCTCTGTACCACTGATGGTACAAACTGATCTAATTACTTTTATCAGTCTTTTTATTAATAAAATTAAATCAGAGCCACCCACCAATGAGACACACAAATCACAGCCCCATTGTGAAAGTGTCAAATCCAGAAACATTTACTAATTTTTAAGATTTCAACAGATAAAGCAGACTTGATTAAGTAGTACTGGGAAATTCTATAGAAGCAATTACCCCAATTTTGAGAAACTGGTGACTTCTTTTTGAGGGAACTTTCATTAAAAAGAAAGCTACTCTTTGCATGTTTGACTAAGGGAACTATAACAGCAAACCAGCAATGTCAGAATTCAACACTTTCATTAATGAGACTAAATGAATATCAAATTACTTATGTTATTTTTTAAAGACTAAAACTGGAAGAAAATAAAAACACCTTACAACTAATAAAATATGACAGTTTGTCTTGAAATCAGTTGCTACAAGGAGTAACAGAAATAAATGAAACATACTACAAATCTGCAGACAGAGCCCTTCACTTTACAACTGACTGTTGTCACTGAAATAACTGCTGCAATGACCTCTCACGGTGCTTGCAAAGTAACAGAGGGCGAGGCCAAAGGGTCAAGACCTGACAGACAGGATGTTTCTTGCTACTGTCTGGCAGTGAGGACCCAGCACCTCCCTTTGTACTGCTTGTAAGAAGTGCTGTAGTGATTAGCCTAAATTACTTTGCACCTAAAAATCAGCAACATCTACACTGTCGTGATAAAAATAATCTAGCAGTAGCTAAGGAAGAAAAAGTAGTTAATAATCAAAAGAACTTCCTCCAAGCCATTTGGACAATCTTCCACACTGTCGGGACCCTGGGCCAAAAAATGTTAATATTCAGTGGTGCTAGGAGGACAATGGGTCAGTCTGGAAAATTACTACCCACTCAGACATCTTCATTTACACAATCAATGGTTTAAAATTAATAAGTGAGTTAGTGGCACTATACAGAATCAATAAAATATAGGCAAGGAGACTTATATTCAAAGCATGCAAATGACCACATTAAAGAAGAAAAGCAAGAACACAACTAAAGACAAGTTCATTTCACAACTGATATAACTGTCTTTTATCTCCTGTCTCAGGCCGAAGTACTGGTTTTCCTCACTACCTGTAAAAACAAAAATTATTTGGTTTGCAAAAAGTACAACATAGAGAACAATAAGCAACTTCCTAAATTCAACTGAGTTTGTTTGACAGTTAACATTAAATAATATTAAGTAACATTAATTAACATTAATGATCACAATTAATACGAAATATTTGCTAATTTTTTTTTTTTTTTTTTTGGTTTTTCTCCGGTACCGGGAACCGAACTCACGACCTTGCGCTTGCCAGGCAGGCGCTTTGCCGCTGAGGTAAATCCCCAGCCCCTATATTTGCTAAATTTTAAAATAATAAATTCCTCAAAATGATACCTTAATGTTATTTTTACCTTTGGATTTCTTTGTCCTGAGGGTTTGAAATCATTAACGTTGTTTTGTCATTTTTATCAGTGTAGGCTTTCTGTTCTTCATAGGCTTTCAATTTTTCCTTTAACATTAAAATCTAGGAGAGAGAAAACAAAGAGTTAAAATATAAAACAATTTATTTGACTCCATTACATATGGCTGAGGCAAACTTCCAGCTATGCAAACTTACTTAATAAGCCAGACTGCAATTGTCATAAGGAGTGCAGTAATTTCTTGGACGATTAGAATTGAAGAATCCTATAAGGAACTGAGATTAACATAACAATGTAAATAGACATACCTCCGCTTTCTGCTCGGTACAGATCTTTACATACTGAGATATGTGATTGTTGAGATTAAGAACATTGCTCTTCAGCTGTCAAAAGACAGAAATTATGATTGTGTATAAAGAGATAATAATTAGACAGTCACACACATGAACAAATTGGCATTACTTCTCATTAAATGATTTCCATCAATTCTGATTTTGTTAGTTTTGATCATGTGATAATCATGATTGATTATGCTCATGACTATGACCCATGTCAAGAGGACATGTTGAGCATATTAATAACAAACATGAAGTTGTAGATATTACTTTACTGAGAAAAGATACTTTTAAACATTCATTCACAATATGATAAGAATTGACTTTTTTTTGACTTTTAGAAATTCAAAGATAACTTCATGTTCTATCCAGTAATGAATTCAACTAGGTTTTACTAAGTTCTTATAACATTTCATCCTTTTAAAAGTATGGACCCTTGGCATACATGAAATAGTGGAGAGAATGTTAAATACCTAAGTCCAAAACTAGATTCCAACTCCTCTTTTACCTTTACTTAGAATTCTGAGCTCTGCAAAACTGTACAGTGGAGCTAAAAACACCTGATACAGTGGGTGAGAGCAAATAATATACAACAAGTGTGTGAAAAACCTGTGTACACTCATAGATATGACTTCATACAGATGATGTGAATGTTTCTCTTAGGATGGACTGACTGGTTCTCTGCAGACACATAAAGGAAACAGCAGAGAAAAGCGGAAGGAGTCACCACATCGGTGTCACTGTAGATCTCTTTTAACCTGAGATGCTATCGTTTTAAACACACATCATGTTTTGACTTACTTAGAAAAAATATACCCCAAACCTTTAGAAAATATATAACCACAAATTATTTTATTTCTTTAGCTACATATACATCAATATCATGAATATGGAAATAAATTTAGAAAAGACTGTTTACTTTATAAATGGGAGGCAGATACAGCTGTTTTCCACATGAAATGACAGAGGTCTGCAGAGATTAACCTTTCCAAAGACCTCAGATAGAAAATGCTGGTGCTCAGCTATTGCACGGCATCATTGCCGGTGACAACGAAAGTGTGAAAGTCTTGACTGATCACTCCAGACTGTGACCCAAAACCCAAGTGCCATGATGTGATAAAGGTTGGGGAGAAACGTATTAAAGCACCCGTGCACCCTGACGACTGAATACTATTACCCATTGCATGCACAAATAAGAGGCTTTCAAGGTTTAACTAAGTTAGTGTCCAGTGAACAGCTATACAGACATTTCTAACACTCAGCTGCCTGAGTCTTTAATAGAAACACAAACCCAATTAACATTTTCATTAGATTTATATAAATACTGCAATATTCACCCAGAACTCTTCCAACAGAGATAACATAAACACACTTACAGAAGATTTAATGTCCTTTGCACGGTTAGCATACTTAAGAGTGTTATATGTGTCATCGTAGAATAAAGAGGAAGGACTAACAGCAGCTATCATTATAGTCTGACAGTTTCCTCCAAGAGAATCCTTTAACAAGCGAGTAAGCTTACTATTTCTGTAAGGAACATGCTGATTCTTTTTCTGAAAGAACAAAAAAAGAATTCTTATGCCATTTTCCACATTTAAATGCAAACCTGCTACTACTTCACTATAAGAACTTAAGCACTGTCCAACTTTGCCCAGACTTATGATATAATTGGTGACTGAAGTGATAATAATATGTGTTATAGGACTATACAGTAAATATATAAAAGAAAAATCCTATTTAAAGATTATATCTGTATCTAAGTATGAACCTTAGTATATAACAAACCATGTATCAGCACTGGCTCATTGCTAGCTGTGAACAATGTACCATATTATTGGTGTACCATAGCCTGAAAAATTAATAGTATATAAAATACAGTCTAGAAAGGAATTTTGTTTGCTAAATGTTTTCTTCTCTTCATGGTAATTTAGTTGTCATTCTTGTTATATAATAGTTATTAAATTGTCACTTTAAAAATCAAGCTAGTTCCAAATAAGTGATAAGAATGTACCACACAATATTTTTTTGGTACCATATAATATTCATTACAAATCTGATAATCATTAATGTTCATTTAGTTAATGTTAAGTATGAAACTGAAAATTAAAAAAAAAAACAGTATCTTGCCAAAATACAAATGCAAAAAGAAACAGAAATAATCCCATACAGCTTTCTGATACTTCAGATTCTCTGCTATGATCTGTTATCTAAAAATTATCAATACATTCTTCAAATACAATTTGCAATAGGCCTTCAAAACAACATTATATGAAACAGTATCTTTCTAGAAATGATGTATTAATATTTCGAAATATTTAGCCAACAAAGAAAAGTGCGTACCTTTGTGTCTGCTAAGGCATTGATGACGTTTCCAAGTGCTAAAAGGGACCTGTTAATGTTTGTGCCCTCCACAAACCGGGTCCCTGTGGCACTGGTGGAGCTGGCCCGTTCGGACCCTGCCAGATCTATGAGCGACATCTTGGCAATGCGGATGTTTTGGTTGATGCTTGCTGTTTTGTCTTGCTGTCGCAAGTAAATCTTAAATTTTAGAAGAACAAGGAAAAATGAGGATAAAACTGAACAAAATTAAAAGGGAAACATGTTTTTCTTTCAAAGCACCATGAAACCAAAATAATATTACTGTCATCCTAAACATGTTCTGAACAAGGTATAATCTGACTGAATTTTCTAAGAAGAACAGAAATAATTACTAACATTAAGAAAAATACAAAAAATGCAAACACTTCTTATATGTTTAAGCCATATAAAATGTTTGGGACTTTTTTTTTTTTTTAAAAAAAAAAAAAAACAATAAAATAACAACAAAGACAAAAACAAAACAACACAAAAACAATAAAAATGATACAGGATATCAAAAAAAGATGATAGGAATTAACAAAGGTTGTTATATTACATATTGTTATCTTCAATGAAGTTGCTCAGATTACTGGATGCCAAGAATGCAAGACTGATCAAACCATGAGAATAAAAAGTAATAAAAAAAATTAGACATGATACAGAGCTTCACTAATTAAGATGACAGGAATTCAGCAATGGTTCTTATACTGTATACTGTTGTCTTACAATTAGTTGTTCAGGTTATCAGACATAAACATGCAAAATTGGTCAAGAAAAAAAATTTAAGCATTAAGTGTATCTTTTAATAAATCAATAGACATCAGGCAGGAGGCATCACAATCCCTGGCTTGAAATTACACTACAAAGCTACTGTGATAAAATCAGCATGGTACTGGCAAAAAACAGACCTGAGGATCAACGGAATAGATTAGAAGATGCAGACACAATGACAAACACACTCAGCTACCTTATTGTAAACAAAGGGGCCAAACATGTTCACTTGAAGAAAGACAGCCTCTTTAAGAAAGGGTGCTGGAAAAACTCACTTTCCACATGCCAAAGACTAAAACTAGACCCATGTCTATCACCATGCACTAAAATAAAGTCAAAATGGATCAAAGATTTTGTTTTATTTTTTTTTAAGTTTATACTAAGGATTGAACCCAGGGTCCTCCACATACCAACCAAGTGTTCTGTATCTGACTCAGAATCTAAATCTCATATTAACAGCTTGTTCCCCAGCTTGGTTCTACCAGGAAGAGGTGGCATAGGCATGTAGTTCTAGCTACTCAGGCAGGTGATGGCAGAAGATCATTTAAGCTGAGGAAGTTTTGAGGTCAGCCTAAGCAACACAGCAGAAAGCCCAACTCTAAAGAAGGTGAATGGAAGGTCTTCTGGTCACTGGGAATGGTGGGGCACCAGCTCCTCTTCCTTTTTATTTTTCTGTCCTGGAAATAGTCAGTTTTGGCCCTCCAGGTGCTCCAGGCCACGGTGTGTTGCCTCACTACAGGCCTAAAAGCACCTGCATCAAGGTACCATGGACTGAAACCTCCAAACCCATCTGCCAAAATCAACCTTTTCACATATCAGTTGATCATTTTAAGTCATTTCTTATAGCAACAAAAAGCTGACTAATAGCATAACAGGGAAAATAACCCCTGACCCTTCAAAAGGCAAAACATGAAATCATCACAGTAGATCCTACTAGGTCCTACAAAAATAACATTCCTAAGAAAAACAGAGGCAGTGGTCAGAAAACTTTACATGAGTCTAAGACTGCCAAACAGGAAAGATGATTTTGCATGTTGATCCAAACAACAGAGTAAACTTATTTTGATCTCCAAAACTATTGTACGTTCCCAAAATTAGGAGAATGTTATATATAAAAAGATAGTAGTATACTTGTGTAAAAGTATAATTCTTTTTCAGCTATTTTACATTGTTTTGGAACAATTTATCTTAAAATAGGTGGTAAGAGATGAAGAAGGTAGCTACTATTCTGTTATAAAATTCTCTTATCAACTTTTCCTATAAAGCAAGGTCTAAGATTTTAAGGGACTCTTAGTGTCACAGATAAAATTTCTCTCAAAACTACTGATAAATGAAAAGTCAACGGTAGGAAGAGAAGACAATGAAATCTTGGTGACTGGGTATGATGTGAATGGCTTGAATGCCTTAGAAATGAATCTTTCCAAATGGGAAAATTTCTTTCTTATATGATTAATTCCACATAGCACAGTCTAGGATGAAGGACCATACAATCATTTGGATATAAACAGACTGGAAACCATAAACAAGAAGAGCCACTAACTGATGCTTTAGCTCTTTCAGGATTCGTGTTCCTAAAACATGTGTGTTAGCTGAAGTATTAAAGAATGCAGCTACTTAATGGTCTTATGGTGAAACCTTCTAAAAAGAAAATTAGTATCTTCCCAATTAATTGTAGATTCATAGATTCTATGAATCTACATCTGTAGACAGAAGTCTTACTCCAAATTAAGTATCTACAGAAAAAATTATTTTCACCAATGTAAAAAAACAACTTCCATCACTACTATTCTACCGTCCCATACCTATAAATCCTATGTTTTTTTAAAATCTTATATGCAATAAGCTGAAAATTCATATTTTTTATTTATATCATCTCAATTCTAATTTATGATAAAATAGTCTCAAAAGTTGAAACGGAGAAGAAAAACTGAAAGGTGGACAGGTCTACAAATGAAGATATTTTCTTCTCATGTATAACAATGATCACCCATGAATTCTGCTTTTTTGGTTTTAAATTCCATTTTCAGAGAGACAGCCCAGTGATCTGTTACCTGGAAAACTGCGTGAGAACGAGAGGAGGTAGCATTGGCGTCTGTGGGGTGTTGTGTCCTGTTTTTGTTCCCATTATCCAGTAGCTGTAAAATTTCTTGTGAGGATCTGGGCTAGAGAAATTTGGATAGAAATTATTGAATAAACTCTTCTTTTCCTCTCTTCTTCCTTTTTTTGGGTTATTTTGGGGATTAGAGCCACAGTTGCACATGTGAAACTCTATGAAAAGTGTCCCACCACCGAGCAAAAAATGTAAATGCATTTAACATGTTAAGTCTTCAAGCAGATTTTCAGGAAGAAAAAGTTCACTTAATTAAAAGCAAACAAAAGTCTATGACATACTTCAGTCATTCAGTTCTATACTTTACTAGTTCACTTCTCTCTCAAACAGGATGGAAAATAAATAATGGCCAACTAGCCACACTTACTATGCTAATAGGAGAAAAAGATGTTTATAAACATACCTGGTGCAAAGATAGACCCTGAACAACCACTCCTTTCTGCGTATCCTCGCGGACAGCAAGTGGCCCTGAATTTACTAAGAGGTCACGAATCTGTTCATTATATACCTAAAAAACAAAAACAAAAAACTTGCTTTAGCTTTGATACCAAAATAACAGTGCCTACATCACACACCTACTGCTGACTTAAAGTTATTAGAATTTTTACTTTAAGGATAAGCATAGGGGCTGGGAATTTAGCTCAGCGGCACAGTGCCTGCCTGGCAAGCACAAGGTCGTGAGTTCGATTCCCGGTACCGAAAAAAAAAAAAACCAAAAAAAAAGGATAAGCAGCAGCTCATTTTCATTCTTCTCACCATTTTATGTAATATTACCATGATTTTCTACCACCCAGAAAATGTTTGATCATTTAGGCTTAAAATGCAAATTTATAGTTTGAGTCCTTATACACTCACTCCCTAATTTCTGACAATAACTATGGTAAAACAAAGGTTAAGTAAGGTGGCCAGGCTTCCTTTCCTTACTTCTTGGAAATACAGAACCTTTAGAGAATAGGTGTGGATAGAAACCCCACACTCCGTGATAGGTGGTGTTTACCTCACTACTCCTCACCTGTGACCAACACACAGCTGTTTAGCAGGAAGCCATTCCCCAGCTGAACGATGAAGGAACCAGGTCCCTAGATACTGCGTGATGCTGAAAATACTTCTGCATTTCCTACCTTTGGCAACATTTAAAAAGTAACTTAAATACGTAACATATAGAAATAGTATTATCCACTTGATTTCATAATGAAAGGTACACAGTTTAATATTTGTCAACCAAGTGATCATGACAACTATTACTGATTTAAAAAAAAAATACAAAAGAAAGTTTGATAGTATTTTCTTCTGTGTTCTAATACGAAGCCTGCAGTGTAGTTCTTTGCTGGTACAATCATTCTCTGTAGTAAATGACAGCATTTTACTGAAGTGTGCTAAGCTCTAAGTGGAAAGATGGTAATATGAAGAGCTAATGTTCCAGCTGCTTTGCAGATGAGCGGCGGTCATTTCTCTACGCTTCTCCGTCTCTGTTTCAGTCACCCTAAAGAGAAAGATCACTGTCAAGCTGACCTATGCAACGGGCTCACCTGGGAGCTTTTCAGGAACGCAGATGCTCTGCCTACACCCCAGAACTATTAAATTTTAATATCTGGGGCGAGACATAGCCATATGGATTTTTAAGTTTCCACAGGTCGTTCTGGTGCACTGCCTGAGTGGAAAGCCTTGCCATTAATAGTGATAGCAGATTAAAAGAATGCTTTCAAAAATTATGAAAATAACCAAGTTTCAAAAATTTCCCCAGGTAAGAAAAAAAAAAAATGTTTCTTCCTTCTTCCATTCAGGACAATCTTTTTTTTGTCTTTTTGAGACAGTCTCACTATGCAGTTCAGGCTGGCCTTAAACTTACTCTGTAATCCAGCCTGGCCTCAGCCTCCCGAGTGCTGGGATTACAGGCATGCACCATCACACCTGTCAGGACAACTCTTTTTCATATTTAAAAACTGAGTTTTCTTCTTCTTCTATCTCCAAGTTCTATACACGGATTGGGAAACTTAGCAATGCATATGATTTTAATCAACCACTGGAAGAAATTCCCTCAGTAGGGACCAAACTATGAGAAATTTTCTGACAGCAGAAAAAATACTTACTAACATAGCCAATGAATGTGCAAAAGCTTCTCAGACGCTGTCTGAACACAAAGTTGAATGTCTGCTGTTAGATATCATTTGCTGAATACTAACTGTTATTAAGTGGTAGGGGGGCCTGAAGAAGCAGCGGGGTGTTGTGTCAAAAGGGCACAACAGGCACCATGAGAGCGCCTCAATTACCTACATCTTACACAATTTGAGCGCACACACAGAAGATCATCACAGACAGGAATTCTAACCTCCTGAAGAAAAATAAGAACCCTTGAGTCCATGCTGATGCTATAAAGCAAAAGGAAAGGGCTTCCTTACAACAAAATGCCAGTGAATAATGGAAAAAAATGGTGGAATTTAAAAATCACCATCATAATAATTGATGCAGGCATGAATCACCAGTTGATGCTAACACTAATAGATATATGCTTGATGTAGAAGAGGATATTTACACTGTCTCCTCACAGGGTATTTATTAATTATAAAGGATAAAGTGGTACTGTTGGTGGGAAAAACTTGTAAACATCCTCAAGATAAAATTAATAAAGTTAAAATTGCCAGTAATGGCACAAACCAACCACACAGAAACGCTGATGTAAGGCAATAAGAACTTTTCACATCCTCTGTGGTGTTTCTGCCACTGCACAATTTGAATCTAAGTGTGACAAACCCAAACTGAAGAGTCTATGGCAGTATCATAAAACACAACGGGCCACACAGAAAAAGACTGCACATTAAAGGGGTCTAAAGAGGTACCACAAGTGACTTCAATTGTTGATCTTAACACAATAATTAGCAAAATCTCATTAAGGTCAACAGAGTAGATAATGTCATTAATTTCCTGATTTTGATAATTATTCAATGGTTATTTAAGAATATTTCCCGTTTTCACAAGTTCACAATTTACACAGTTTTAAAACAATAAAGACATTCACATAGACAAAGCAAATGTAGTAAATGCTAATATATGGAGATTTTAGTCAAGCGTATCTGGAAGTTCTTTTTACTATTTTGCAATTTCCCTATAAGTCTGAGATTATACCCTTCCAGAAAAATATAGAAAACAGAGCAAGATATATTTAAAAATATTCCAAACAAGAACTTTCATGATTTTATACATTTCTCAGAAACTTCTTATATAATAAAATAAAATAAATATAATAAAATAAAACCTTGGTTTATGAGAGTAATTTTCTCCGTTCATAATCCAGAGCACTTGTGTATAAAAGCAGTAAGAGAGGTGCAGAGAGAAGAACCAGTTGTGATCAGGTCATGTCCAGCATGATGGACTACCTGTACTGCAAGACATCACTTTATTTATCAAATTAAAATTTCTTAGGAAATTTTAATGCGTCATGCGGAACACTCGTGTACCGAGTTACTCCCAATCCAAGATTTGACTGTAAGGTGAATGAGCCATGTTAACGTGCACAATTCTCAAAAACAGTGATTAGTCTAAACAATATTGCCAACTTACCTCCAGGTAAGAAACTGCAGTGCTACATATTTTCTCTTCTTTAATCTCATCCATGCACTTGTAGAGGTCTAACATGGTTAGGTACATTACTCCAGGTTCAGCAGCTGATCCCAGCATCGTGTGGGTTTTCCCAGCTCCCGTGGCACCATACGCAAGTACTGAATTTTTATGAAAAGGCGTTAAAGCTCATTATGACACGAAGATTACTGTATCTACTTTCCAGCGGATACTTCCACCTGGGTATCCTGGCTGGCAACTTTAAACCCCATAAGTATCACCTGTCCTCACTTAGCACTAAAGTCATCTTCTGTGCCTTTCCGGGTCCTCACAGGAGGTCTGGTCTACTCCTGAATTTAACCCTCAGTGTAGGCGATAACCTGTGCTCCTCCCTTCTTGCCTATATCACAAAGTACTTCCAACCATGAGCTCCACCAAGACGGAAGCCCTCAGTGCCCTGTGTGCCCTAACACAAACCAAGCACATAAATGAATTTCAGACAGAGGCTATTTACAAAGCTCCTTTTTAAATTCTCCTTTCAGACAAATTATTTTGTTTCCAATATTCTCTCCTGTACAACATAAAAGTTATACTGTCTTCAAATGCATAGGATCATCTACTCTTTAATTTATAAGTGGCAAACACCCAGTACAATAATCAGTTAAGGCATTAAATCTTCATACATTATTATTATGTTTTACTTTGTTCTATTTTACATAAACGGACAGCTGGATATTTTGGAGTCAAGAAAAAAGATTTAAAAATTTCTACAGAAAATATGAAATTTTATAAAGGAAAGGAACATATGCTTCAAATGAGAATTATACCAGTTCCAAACAATAAAACACATTCTAATTGTAAATGATCAAGAAAGTAAGCCTGTGATAAAAATAAAACATCAGCTGGGCATGGCGGTGCATGCCAGTAATCCCAGCACTTGGGAGGCAGCAGCAGGCGGATCACTGAGTTTGAGGCCAGCCTAGGCTACATAGTGAGTTAAAGTCCAGTCTGAACTACATAGTGAGATCCTGTCTCAAACAAATAAACACCAAAACCAAAAAACCAAAATAAAATGAGGGAGAGATAGAATACGGTATAGCTGCGGAATATCCTGTGGAAAATATAAAAACTGATAATTACAAAAGATATTAATAATGGTGTTCAATCATTGAATAGTACTTGTAATCACTAAATTAACTGGCCATTTGGTATGTATCTTTTTCTGAGAAATAAATATGGCATTTTGGGAGGCAGATGAAAGCCTCTCCAAAGCATTACAGATGCTTCTTGGGTTGAAGATATGCTAAAATAATATCAGATATTCAATTATAATGGAGTTTTAACAGATTTGGTTCAAAGTACCTTAAAGAAAAATGGTGCTGCAAAAAAAACTGCCAAGTGTTCAGAAATGTCTGGTTATTCACCAGGGATACACAATAGTTAAGCAGTAAGAATAGTTATGAATGTAAGTTATAAGAAATCTGCTATCATCAGTTGTAAGAAGCACGTGGTTTCATGATACAGGATAGTGACAGGACTACCTTCGGGGTCCTAGCAAAGCCCTGGGAAGAGAAAAGCTTCATAAATGAAATAGTGCTTAAATAGTCCTTAAATTTGACTATATTTAGAAGAAAGGACCAATAACACATTCCTCCTATGTAACAATGAAATCAAATAGAGAAATAATTAGATAACCTGAAAAAATTACCTGTGCAATTATATCCGTTCAAAAAACTACGAAGAATTGGCTTGGTAGTGTGTTCAAAAACTTCCAATTGAGTTGAAGTTTCATCAAAAACAGTATCGAATACAAATTTAAGATCTTTATTTTGTCTCTTTGAAATATCAAAATTTGTAGTTTTCTTTTTAGGGAAAAAACTGACTTCTTCTTGTTTGGGGTCAAAAATTAATATATGCTTATCCACAACTTGGACCACTTTATGGAGTCCTGCTGCTTTTTCTTTTGTATTTTCAGGGCGTACACGAATAACTACTTTCATGTGGTGACACAGGTCTTCCGCAGGGACAGACATTATTGATTATCCTGATTTGTTTATAAGAATGCCCGATATTTCTGAAACCAAAAAGAAAAATGAACTTTTAATATTAGTTCTACCTCTAACTGGTATGTAGTATTCATTCAAAAAAAGGTGCTAATCCTGTTCTACTCACCTGGGAAATATTACTGGGGGGAAATACATAGTTAAACAACTAAACGAAAAATTCAGTGGCACACACATAGAAGCACGATGGCAATATTTTTACTTGTATTCAGACCCTGGGCTCCAGTTTAAATTCAAATAGTGTACCTGAATTAACCACAGCTATGCCACTCCAAACTCAGCTATGATGTTCAACATGGCTGCAGCACTGTTTTCAACTAGGTTGTGGGAATGGACAAGAAAGGAGCTTCTGAACCCTATCAGGATAAGGATGGCAGAGCCTTAGCTTGGGAACTATTTTTAGTAAAAGCATCTTGTCTGCCAACCTCTTGGCAGTGGAAAGGTTGGTCTCTGACTGTGCCTCAGAGACACACAGGGTTAAAAATAGTTCCAAGGATGCATCAAGTAGGTAGCTCAGGTTGGAGAGGATAGAAATGGCAGACACTCCTTGGTATTCAGAAATCCTGGTCTCGGAACAGAGGTCATAGGCTCCTTTCCTAATGATATGTCATTTTAAGGGACATCAGTAATGATAGGTTTAAAAATTATTTTTTAAATGATTACCTCACATGAAAAGAAAAAAGGTAAATTTACAAAGATCCGTGATTTAGACATCTCACCTATCCAGAACATAATCTAGAATCTGTGAACTTGAAGGAGGCAAGGGAATATGATCCAGGAATCCCACTTCTGAGTTGAGAACCAATGGAGCTGAAATCAAAATGCTAGAAACACCGCGTGTCCACCGTGGCCTGATCACAATGGGCAGGATGTGGAGATAACTGCTCACCGACAGAAGGGCAAGTATAAAACATGCGTACACACTGTCTCAGTTACTGTTCTCTCACTGCTCGGACAAAATACCCAGCGCCCAAAATGAAGGAAGGAAAGGTTTATTTAGCTCACAGTTTGTGGAGGTTTCAGTCCATACTTGGCTGGCTCCAAAGCAGGGTGGTTCATGGCAGTAGCAGCAAAAGCAGCAAGAGCAAAAAGGGTGGAGCAGCAGACAGCAAGCCTCTTTCCCTCCCTTGTATACTGTATGCAGGCTCCCAGTCCCAGGGCGGGTGTAGCACTCACACCCATAATCCCAGCATTGGACCACGTACCTATCATGAACTCTAGAAGCCCACTCCATGACTGCAGGAGGCTTTGGGGGAACATCTAGACACAAACTGTAATATACACATAATGGAGAACTACAATATTCAGTCTTAAAGAGAATGAAATCCTGCCACTTCTTGCTAATATGGATGAATCTAGAAGACACTATGCTAGACAGAAAAATCCAGGGACAGAAAAATATCACATAATTTCATTTTTGTGTAGCATATTAACGGAACAAATAAAAATAGAGAGAATGACACTCATCAGAGGCGAGGGGGTTGGGAGGCAAGGGAAAGAGAAAATGCTGATCAAAGGATACAAAATTTCTGTGATACTCATGATGTCTTCATAAATTCAGTATTAAAATATTTATACAAGTTTTTCTTTTCCTGAAGTGGGTACTATATACATTTTTGGTGGACTCTGTAGTATAGAGGTGACGGTGTGGCTCCAAACTGTGCTGATGGCAGGGCCAGTAAGCTGGACTCTGGACCTGTTCTGAAGGTAAAGCCAACAGACTTTTCTGAGAGGGATACACAGGTTATGAGAAAGATGGGATTCAATACCACCGAAATTTTGTGCTGAGCGTTGGGCCAGAGGAATAGCCATTCAGTGAGATAAAAAATAACTGGGAATAGAGCAGGGTATAGGTACTGGGCGGTGGAGACATCAGGAGTGCAGTTTGGGACTCAGTTTAAGAGTTTAAGAGATATTCAGGTGGAAACATTAAGGCAGTTAGAAGTCACATTAAGACAGCAAAGCCCTTAGCATCTCAAGGGCATTTTTAGTTTTTTAAGTTTTTAAAAGCTCAAAACCGCCTTAAGAAGTTTGGGAACCATTCAATCAAGAAGACAGTGATCAATCGTCTTAAATACATCTAATAAGTTTCTGAGAATTAACTGCAGGATTTCGAGACAGAGGCCAGCGTGGGAGCCTTGGGGAAGTGTTGCAGACAAACACTGGGTATGAAGAGACCTGTAGTCAGGAGACTGGGAAGATACAGTGTGAAAATAAAAGCAGCAGAGACATGGTCTAGGGAGCAGGGAAGGGCAGCCAATGGGGACTTAGTTTGCCTTTGTTTTTTTAAATGGGAGAAATAGCTAAACCATGTCACAAAACCATATCTGTTTGGACTTGATTCAAATAATGCCAAAGTAATCTAAAAGTATCAGGTGCAGGATATTGCTCTGCCTTTTTAGGACTCTTTAGCCAGAAATAGAATTCTGAAGAGGAAGAACCCATGATTTGAATTCTCAGTCAGGTCCCAGGTGAATTACTGCTTTGCTCTTCCTCACCCTTGACTTTTTGTCTAGTGAACTCCCACAAAGCATCTACGCCTGCTTCTGTGACCTTGTGTGAGTTATTTTACCTCGCTGGGTCACACGCTTCTCATCTGTAGAAAAGAGATAGTAAGCGTGTATGGTGGTACACCCCTGTCACTCCAGGAGGCTGATGCTGGAGGATCCTGAGTTCAGAGCCGCTCAGCTCAGGTTACATGGGGAGTTCAAAGCCAGCAGGACTACAAAGGGTGAGAAAGAGAATAATACCTCATGGTATTGTTATCAAGGGTGAACAGAACAAACATGAAGTCATCAAGAATTTGAGAAACACTTGTTCTCTATCTGCCTCCACTTCTGCCTTTTCTTCCTTCTCTCAAAAGCCCCATGTGTAGAGGTATGTGTTTCTTTCCTGTCTATTACAGGAGAGTAGTTTCCCACTTCCCTTGGGATACCCAAACCAAGTATTTCTAAAACCTTTCTGAAACCGTCAACAGTGCTTTGACTTTAACAGATGTAAGTTCATTGGCACCAGACAGCTTTGGTTAAAATACCAGCTCTGAGCAGAGGGTGGTGGCGCATACCTGTAATCCCAGCACTTAGGAGGTTGAGGCAGGAGGGTCATTACAAGATCTATGCTGCCTGGAACACATCGTAAGTTCAAGGCCATCGTGAACTACACAGCAAAACACCGTCTCAATACTCCATATACAAATCGTAGGTCTCAAAGCTGGACATAGTGACACACACCTGTAATCGCAGCACTATGGGAGGTTGAGGCAAGATGATCTCAAATTCAAGCCCAGCCTGGGCAAGGGCAATTTAGAGACTTAGCAAGACCCTGTCTCAAACAACCTTACCCCTAGCTCTACTGCTGAATACCTATGACAGTGGTGGGCAGGCTATTTAAAATCCCTGTGGCTCACTTTTCTCTCCTGTAAAGCTGGACTGGCAGTACCCACCTCATACAGTTATTTTAGCCCAAGTAAGGTTGAATGCCTCAGCACAATGCTTGACCCAGAGCTGTAGTGTACTACAAGTGCTTGCTATTATTGCTCTTTACAGTGCAAAAAGGAAGTGGGATATCCATACTGACACACACATGTACAGGTATTGAATCTGACAGCACTATAAGGGAAAGGTTATTAATGCTATGCAGGGTAAAATGCTGGATTAGTAGTCAAGTTTCCTAGAGGAAGTGATGAGCTGAGAGCGGAAGGATGGGTAAGTATTAGGTAAAAGCACCTCAGGAAGAAAACTAGTTGTGTATTTAGGAACCATTTCCGGAACGCCATCAGCTTCTCTGCGCCTGAGACATAAAGGGTCAGGAGTATGTGCAGACTCCTCCTTTAGATGGGACAGGAATCTAAACGCCTCTAAGTGTCTCTAACGGGGAGGTGATTTGTCAGAGACTGAGTCAGGAGCATTTCAGGTGGTGAGTCAAAGACTATTGCAGGAATAAAAGCTAACTTGCTAAACAGTCAATTTAATTCAATCTTTTGGTTTTTTAACTGTTTGGTTTTGTATGAGTGGATGTAGTTTTATCTACAGTAACTAAAGAAGGGCTCAAGGGAATCTTTGGTTTCTTCTGCAGTGACTGGAGAGAAGGGAGAGGAAAGAAGGTTGCATTAAAAAGATAAACTGGACACTGTGAGTTTTAAAGATCTTGAACCTAAGCCTGAAGAATTCACTTGAATTTGAATTAGGAATCAGCGAAAGCACTTTAGGTGCCCATAGGTGTTACTGAAGTAACATTTTACGGAGAAAGTTTGACAGTGAACTACAGGAGGTAAGTACATCAAATGCAATTCTGTTTCACAACTTGTTAGAGACCTGAAGAGAGTTATAGATCTTAACATTTAAAGTTTTACATTCCCTACTTTTTAGGCACAAATTAGAATTTTCTCTCTCCCCCTTTCTTTTTCTTTAAACTAGGGATTGAGCCCTGGCTCAATGTGCTAACAAGCTAGTGTTCTACCAGCAAGTGACATTCCCAGCCCCAATTTTCTTAATGAAGATGCCTAACGTCAACAGAATCATGAATATGTAAAAATTAAAGCAGGGTACTAAGGTGTATGCCTGTAGTTCCAACTACTTAGGAAGCTGAGCCAGGAGGATCACTTTAGTCCCAAAGTTGGAGACCAGCCTGGACATCACAGCTAGACTACTGTATCAAAATAAAATAACTTTTTGAAAAGTGTATCAGTTACTTTTCTCTTCTTGCTTAGACAAAATGCCTGACACTCAATGTTAAAGGGGTAAGAATTTATTAGCTCAATTTGTAGAGGTTTCAGTCTATAATCAGCTGGCTCCAGTGCAGTGTAGCTTCTGTTCATGGCAGTGGAAAACAGCAAAAGCAACAAGAGGGAGAAGAGAAACATGTGTCTTTCTGCCCCATTTATCTTATTCAGACTGCTGGGATTAGGGTGGTGCCAACCCAATAAGTGGACTGATCCAGCAATCACCCTCCCTTAATCCTACTAGCACACTTAATTCCAATACTGCAACATCAATCAATCACACACTCTATCCAGACCTGGTGGTGCACACCAAGAATCCCTGCACTTGGGAGGATGAGGCAGGAGTACTACTGGGACAGCCTGGGCTACAAAGTGAGTTTAAGGCCAGCCTGAACTGCATAGTGAAACACTGTCTCAAAAAGACGGAAACAACAACGAAGCCACACCTATAGATTCAGTTGCCTCCGCTTGCCTCCCATGACCGCTTGAGGCTTTAGGAGGACATCCAGATACAAACCATAACAAAAGGTAAAAATTCGTTCAAATATACTGACATCTTTGGGGATCAGTGAGATTGTTCCCATATTACAACATAATGCCTTCATTCTTTTTTAACATAGCTAACTAAAAGAAATGAACATACTGTACAGGTGATTCTGAATCAAGTGCCAGAGAAAAAAATTCCTTGATCATGATTACGGATCAAAGCAGCAAAAGCATATAAAGTAGCAAAAGAGAAGACTAATTTTGTTATCTGTACAACACTGTGACTTACAAATTCTTTTTTCAGCTCCAAAGTTTTATCAATTTTGTGCGTAACTAGAAGAATGGTACAAAGGCTGGGTATGGTGGCATATGTCCGTAATCCCAACATTTTGGGAGGCTGCAGCATGAGGACTGCTCTGAGTTTGAGGCCAGCCTGGGCTACACCGCGAGTTCAAGTCCAGCCTAAACTATACAATGAGACCCGGTTTCAAAAACAAAAACAAAGCCAGGCACAGCATCGTGGTGCATGCCTGTAATCCCAGCACTGAGGAGGCTGAGGCAGGAGGATTGTTGTGAGTTTGAGGCCAGCGTGGGCTACAAAGTGAGCTCAAGGCTAGCCTGAACTGCATAAGGAGACCCTGTCTGAAAAGACAAAACAAAACAAAAAAACCCCAAAACCAAAACCAAACAAATATGAGAGAATGGGAAGAAAAATCCAAGAAGTAACTACGCATTTGCAGTACAGGCACTCAGAAATTTTCTCAAAGAAATTAGAAGTGCATATTTTCTTACTTTAAAAAAACTTAAAATATTTAATTGACAATGACGATTGCATATATTCAAGGTGTACAGTATGACGACTTGATCTATAATTGATTGTATAATGATTACCACAACTAAATTAATAAAACCATCACCCACACTATACAGTGGTTCCTATGGACTTGTTCTAGTTATAACTTAAACTCTGTACATTTAGACTAACATTTCCTTATCTCTCCTATAATTCAGCTCCAGTCTACTTTTGACAGGAGCTCATACATAAATGTTGAAATACACTTGTCATGTATCACATAGTAGCCATTCTTGGAAAACATGTTATTAAGAACACCCGGATTAGGTCAGAATGGTGATAATTAATGGTAATGAGCAAAACAGATCATCACTTGAGTATATTCTATGTGCCAGGCATTATGGTAAACATTTGCCATTCATCAGCTCATGTAATCATTATAATCATCATGTAAGGTAGGTTCTACTTTTATATTTGTTTCAAAAACACAGGGATATAACTTTAGGGTAAGTAATTTTTCCAAGTGACATAGAAACGGGGAACCACAAAGTGGATGTCCAACTCCAAAGTCCGTGTTCTTCCCAACTGTGCTCTACTAGAATTAGAACAGAACACTTCCAAATAATGATACAGACACTGAAAGATACAACTCTGAAATATTTCTTAGACGAAAACTCAAATCTGAATTAGATTCCAGTTCCACAAACAAATTTTGTTGTATACCTTCCTTCAATGACTCAAGGTCCACGTACAGTGGGAAAAGGTGTAAACAGTTGTTCAATAACTTATATTAACTGTTCAAGGCAGACATCTTAGTTTCCTGAAACAGGCCTTACAAAACAATATCAACTTAATCACAAGCCAGGTCTTCAGACTTCCTCTTCTCCAGCACCAAAGTTACCATCACCTGCCAAAACCCGAGCGGGGCTGGCTGCGGGGCCACCGCGCCACAGCTAAAGCCTGAGTGTTGAAGGCCTGCCACCCACCTGCCCCGCAGCTTGCCATCTAAGCCGCTTTCCCTACAGCAGGGCTAGCACCTCCCGGCCAGGTCAGCCTCCTCCTGCACCAAAGGGCAGCAGTCGCCCCGGCTTCCTCGGGGCCGGGGGTCCAAGAGCGCCTCCCCGAAGCTCTGCAGCGCCGAGAGCGGAAGGCGGGCGGCTGATCCCCGGCCCGAGGGGGGCCCGGCAAGGGCAGCGCTCGGCCCCGCAGGGTCCCCGGGGCACACAGGGCCGGGCCTGCACCCCGGACGCCCCG